ATTGCAATGCGTGCTGTGTGCCCGTCTGTATAACGCCGCCGAGGTATGTGAATCCCGCATCAGTGTTTTTGTACCGACGGATAGGTGACTGGGGTAAGCCATATATGCATGCAGTTAGAAGGAACTGCTCCCGTGTCTCGGCTCCCGCCTGGCCGTGTCTCGGCTCCCGTCTGACCGTGTCTCGGCTCCCGACTGACCGTGTCTCGGCTCCCGTCTGACCGTGTCTCGGCTCCCGCTTGACCGTGTCTCGGCTCCTGTCCGGTCCTGTCTCGGCTCCCGTCTGACCGTGTCTCAGCCCCCGCTTGACCGTGTCTCGGCTCCCGTCTGACCGTGTCTCGGCTCCTGACCGTGTCTCGACTCCCGTCTGACCATGTCTCGGCTCCCGCCTGACCGTGTCTCAGCTCCCGTCTGACCGTGTCTCCGCTCCCGTCTGGCCGTGTCTCGGCTCCCGCCCGACCGTGTCTCGGCTCCCGTCTGACCGCGTCTTGGCTCCCGTCTGACCGTGTCTCGGCTCCCGTCTGACCGTGTCTCAGCTCCCGTCTGACCGTGTCTCGGCTCCCGTCTGACCATGTCTCGGCTCCCGCCTGACCGTGCCGTGTCTCCACGTCTCGGCAGCTGCCGGCGTCCGTGTGGCTGGCCGGCTTCTTCAACCCTCAGTCGTTCCTCACGGCCATCATGCAGAGCACGGCCCGCAAGAATGAGTGGCCGCTCGACCGGATGTGTCTGCAGTGTGACGTCACCAAGAAAAACAAGGAGGACTTCTCGTAAGCCGTCGGCTCCGACTGCCAGCTCTCTGGTCTGCAACGTGTCCGGCCGGGTGTTGGGGACGCTGCTTCTGACGACCTGGCGATTTGTGCCTCCGAGGCCGTCCATGTTGAGGCCGAGCATTTTTTCACCTGCGCCTTTTATCGAAAGCTACGCGTGCAAAGCATGAGTCTGAGCCAGGTGATATCTGTTGGTTGTGGACCACAGGTTTTCAGAACGCAGAAACGCGACTAGAGAAAACGCTTTGTTGTTTTTCATAGACGCAGCTTTTCAGCTCGCCTACCCGCCAATTTCTGACGCGTGATTTTGGCTTTGTTATGGGTCAGACTTGGCAAGCTTTTTTGGCTAAAAAATTCGGGCAAAATAATGTATTTTTTGCTGTTCCATAAGTCTCGAAATTATCCCAAAACTGAAGTGCGCTGCCAAACACAAAACAACGATAAAACAAAAATATTTGTATGCTTTTTAAGTCTAGCCAGCATTAACTGACGTATCAAATGCGCAGCAGTCGTTGAAACTGAAAAAGTAGTAGCATATTTTGTTTGTCTATGTCTGCAGAAGATGCAATTTGCGATCACCACTGCAGGGCGCCTTCAATACAATTTCCACCCTCTTCCTTCTCACGTATAGCTGAAAATTGTTCTCACAGTGTCTCAGATCTACTTTGGTGCAGGATCAATTTATCGTGCAGGTACTTTGATTGCTGCTCTCGGAGTAACATTACTGGTATAGCAAAACAGTGTCATAAAACAATGTTATGTGCTAGATGACAGTTGCACGCTATTTCATCCACAATGTAATGTATAGGTCTGTAATTAAGATGAGATGATAAAAATGCATTTTGTATTAAATGAATATTCAAAGGCTAAAGGAGGATCAGCATTGTAACATGGAGAGCTTTTGTGGGCTGGATCTCTAGCTAGGCGGGCTTTGCGGGCTGATTCACTAGCTGGCTGAGCTGCGGACGGCTACGTTTTTGGGAAGTTGTGCCTGTAGGTGCGATCGTTATCACGACCAGCCCACGGGGCCAGCCGGTTCGCACGGCCGGCGAGGCCAGCGCCGGTGCGGGCCGCGCCGAGCCGGACCGGCGGCCGATTGAGCGGACCGCGCTGACTGCCGCAGCTCGGCGCCGCGCGAGGGGCGCCTACGTACACGGCCTATTCATGGAGGGCGCCCGCTGGGACACCAGCGCCAACTCCATCATGGACTCCAAGCTCAAGGAGCTCTACCCTGTGATGCCCGTCATCTTCATCAAAGTACGTGTGGCGGCGCCGCGCCAGCAGGGCCCGCTTTAAGCAGTCGAATGGCAGATCGCACCGCACTCACTCGTGCGGAAATATAGAGGTGACATTCATTCCATGTTTGTCTCAAGGATAGCCATGCTGGTGTTTGGCCACATTCTCAAATATCCGGAATTTCAATCCCTGTGGAGTTCCACGGTGATAATGTGCGATTCTCGATTATTCCATGCGGTCCTGTTTTGGACGCTTTCACAGCACGTGCTGTTTGTGGTCAGTTTGCAACCGTTACCAAAACTTACTGACTGAGGTCTGTTGTCTACCAGGCGATGACCCAGGACAAACAGGACACGAGGAACATCTACGAGTGTCCCGTCTACAAGACGCGCATGCGCGGTCCCACCTTCGTCTGGACGTTCAACCTGAAGACCAAAGAGAAGGCCAGCAAGTGGATCCTCGCCGGGGTGGCTTTGCTCCTTCAGATCTAGTCGAGAGACGCTCGCTGGCACGTGTTGCGCCAGCGGGTGGACGGGCACCGCTCGAAGCATGCTGCCGGTGCTAATAAGATGACGTGTTTTGTGTTGCTCGATTATCGGGTGACGCTCGGACTGATCGAACAATCATGGCGTCGATTGACAGCATCGAGATTTTGCGCTTCTCCTGCTGCGCTCCTACCGCATGCAGATAAAGAATAAGTTGTGAAAGGTTATCCCCCTCCCAAGCCGCTGTTGAGACTGTGACGCTGCTCATTTGTTAAAGCACGTGATGAAATTCCGTATAGTCTTGTCCTTGTCGAGCACCGCGTTGCCGTCTTCGTTTTCCGATGTAGCGAGCACCAGGATGTGCGTCCTGCTCGGCAGGGTTAGCAGGGCGCCGTGTTTAGTAGGATGGAGCTGGACGGTCCGAGTCTAAATCAAATGACGAATATACAAGTGTACAGATGCGTCTATATCAGGGGAACTACACGGCAGCCTCTCGCACAGGCCGTGCTCGCCCGGTGCCGGCCTTGGCGTGTTCCCGTGCTTCAGCCTTGGGGTGTCCCCGTGCTCCAGACGGCTCAGACCCACCACACGTAAGAGGTGCCAGCTGCACCTCCCGCAACCTAGCCTCTGGCACAGCCCATCGGGTATTCCCGGCGTGCGATGACTGCAAAAACGGAAGCCCACGCCTTTGAAATGTGTTGGCCGCAGTACAAACCGGTGAAACAAGTAAACGCACGTGATGCCGTGTGCATCACTGTATCCCAGGCGGCAGGTGTCAAGTTAGAGATGCCCACTCGTAGCAGATTTACTGCTGGCGTGATAGACGAGTGTAGAACTCACTAGGCTTTCTCGCCAGTCAGAGAAAGCAAAATCTTGTCAGTCAGCAGCTTCTGTTTTCAGAAACTTGCACTCGCGAACAATCCCGCCACCATGTCCATGTGCGCAGCCAACAGCATTCTCGCGTCTCCAAGTCCAGAGAGCACATGAGCATACATGGTCACCGACGGTGCGCCTTATATGCTACGTTCGTCAGAAACTAGCAGGACACCTCCTGGGCGATACTAAGAATGAAGAACTTGTGCCAATGGCAGGCCCTCCTCAAGTGCAAGGACGCTACCTTGGCGACTCTTAGAATGAGAGCCTCCTGTATTGGCGGGAGAAACCTTTGGTTATACGCTTTTGCCCTTCACCCGAATGAACCCGAACGCTTCGCGTGGAAGAGCCCGACGTGCCCAGATGAGGAGGGGTGAACATCGCAAACGTGCGTTAAGGCTCCTTAACCCCAGCTTTGGCAGTGTACTAGGCAGCAGTACTTTCCCCCGATCCTGCGTGCCACTGCAGAGGGCTAATAGGGTAAAATTGTGGGGCCGAAATTGATTAGTGATACGACGAATAAACGCAGCGTATGGTGATGACGGGGGGGGGGGGGGGGGGTCGAATACATGTCACTGCCTGAAAGCTGGCAGTTTATGAGGACCAGTGGAAGCAACGGCAACTCGGCCAAGGGTACGGATAGACGAATTAAAATTGCATTTAAAATAATCTTATGTTGAAATCGAAGACGGGCGAGTAGGCGAGATACCCGGCGGGGCGTTTGTAGCCCAAGTCCTTTCAAACGAGTCTAGCAGGGGCAGAATCATTCCGCGGACTCCTCTCGATATCATTGTCCCTAACCTCAAACCGCACCCTCCATTCCGGGCACTGAAGTACTTATATGTCTTACACGGCATTGGCCAGCCCCACACTTGTACGTAGTTTGGAAGGATCGCGGGGTGTGGCACGTTACTGAGTGCAGATTTCTTTGCAGGGCGGCCAGACTGCCTGAACATATGAACATTTCTAGCATCAATTAAGGGGGTATGAACATAACAAAGGAATTGTGCGTTCTGAAATTGTCTTCAGTGGTGTTCCGAGGCACCAGAGCTCATATCAAAGGATCCTGGAAAATGTTGCAAAAGCTGCAGAATATTGAAAGCCCAGTTACCGCTTAACAAACCAAGATAGTGTCATAAAACCACATTTAGTGCCCTCGCTAGGCATACATGATCGCAAAGGCGAATTTTCCAATTCATTGCAAAAAGTTGCAGAAGGGTGCAGGAGTCATTTACGACAAAACGAAGGGTGACAGAGCTCCAGGACCACCTCCATCCCCTTTGCAAGACCATCCCCATCCCCTCGCGTCTGTTCTGAGCGTTTTTTTTCTTCTTTTTTAGATAGGCGGTTGCTCTCCGGAAGCATTCTCATTCACGTTATTTCAATATAAAGAATATGAAGACTTAACAACTTGCGTTATTTGAATAGGCGAATAAATGATTCCTGTGGACAGAAGAATAATACAATTAAAAAACCTGCGAGATCCACCTTTTCATATTCACCGTGTGATAAACGAGACCTTACCCGCCCGGCCTTCCTCCAATTCACCCGCCCGAAGACGTCTCGGCCCACTCCCTGTACTGAGACGAAGTCAACAGCGCAGGCCAAACAGGCTTGGATGGGGCCAGCTAAAACCAGCATCGCATCAGGAAACAATTTATTAGACGTAACGAAACATTAAAATACTTCAAACCAATAACGGTACATCTGGGCATCCTCCACAACCGCGCGCGCGCCTGGCTGCATCCCCTGTAGAACTACTCTGGTATAAAACAGTTGGTCTCCCTAACACACCACCCGGCGCCATTTGACTCGAAAGCTAGCTCCCACGTTTCCTGACGCGTTCACACGTATCTCGCGGCCCACCCGGGACCCACACAGACATCGGGCACCGCCTGCGGCGGCCGGCGGCGCCCGACAGCGACACGGACGGTGATTTGGACGGCAGGGCCGGCGGCGGCGGCGGCGGCCCGGCGGACAGCCCGAGCCCGCCGCCGCCGGCGGGTCGGGTCGGCTCGGACGACGGCGGCGGCGGCCGGCTCGGTTACGTCACGCAGAACTTCCAGTTGGCCTGGTACAGATCGCTGCGCACCCGGTCCGCGTCCAGCTCCCTGAAACGGCAGAGCGGGGGCGCCGGCTCAGCGGTCCGGACGGCGACACGAGCACCGCAACACTCCAGCGACCTGCACTCACAGCACCACCTCCCGGAGAATACCACCACCTCCCTCCCGCTCGGCGCGGCCCAGCTCACCTGAACTGCGGCTGCCAACTGTTGACGATCTTGTCGTTGAGGCTGCGCACGTCCGCCTCCATGTAGTCGCGGAACTCGCGCCGTATGCGATCGTTGAGGCGCGTCTGCTGCTTCTCGGCCAGCATCAGGTCGGCCCGCTCGCGCGCTAGCAGCGCCGCCAGGTCCCGGAAGTTGGCCTCGTAGTACTGGTGCATGCGGTTCAGGTCGCTCGTGTAGCCGTCAGCGTCGTAGAACTTCTGGATGGCCTGTTTCTCCAGCTTGCGCACGGAGCGCAGCCGGCAGCGCTGGATCTCCAGCATCTCCTCGAACACGGCACGTAACAGCTGCCGACACGGAGACAATGTGAGACACGGCGAGAGACAAGGTGAGACACGGCGAGAGACAGGGTGAGACACGGCGAGAGACAAGGTGAGACACGGCGAGAGACAAGGTGCGACACAGCGTGTGCGGCCGACAGTGCCGGATCCCAATCCGTCTACCATGGCTCACAACAGTTGCAGACGAGTGGGGACGGAGTAAATCTCACCAAAGGCATTCAGACTGCACGGCCCAGGCCACCAGCTCGGGCAGTTGCGAGACAGAGACGGGCCCAGGCTACTCCGCAAGTTCGTAACAGCCTACACTCGCCAGGATTTCATACAGCTGTCAGTCAAGCAGCTCTCTACGGCATAGCCAGAAGGCAGTTCCTTGTCTCAGTCGAGCACAACCTGCCAGTCTCTTCAAGGGACTCGCGGAAGGGCGTGACGGTGGCCGATCAGACCCTTCCCAGGCGGTCACTTCCAGCGCGGCCCGACGGCCGCCTCACCAGCTCCTCCTTGCTCTTGTTGAAGGCCGAGCGCGACTGGAACTGCTGCTGGAACGAGCTGACGTAGCGCTGCGCCCGCAGACACGAGATCTTGCTGTCCCGCGGCATGTTCCTGCCGGCGGCGCACGCACGCGGCTCAGCCAGGCACGGCGGTGCGGAGCGGCGCCGTCAAACCAGGCAACGCGCAGACTGACGACGTAACGCTGACGGCGGGCGCCATGGCGGCGCTGCACGCCCGCCAGCTGACGGTTCTGGCCGGAAGGAACGCTCAGGGATCAGCCAGCTGCAGCCTTCGGAGGCAGAGCACCGGACGAGCTGAGGGGTGGGGCTAATGACGTCTATCCACCATGGACAAAAACCATCATCAGATCAAACGGCGGTACAGAGCTCATATGTATACTTGCTGGGCACTATTCCGTGCCGATCCGGGCCGCCGCCGCCCTGGCACTCACCGGATCTTGGCCTCGCGCCGTTTGCAGTTGGCCATCTGCTGGAAGCGCTGGTCGTGCGCCTTGTGCTGGTGCATGATGTCGGTGAGCAGCGCCTGCCGCTTCAGCACGTCCTTACGCTGTCGGCCGGGCGCGCTGTCAGTCGGCGCTGTCACGCGCAGGCGGCCCGACCGCCCAGCACGTGCGCGTGCAGACGTGACAGGCCAGAAAAGTAGCGTCGAAGAAAAGCACGTTAACATTGAACCAGGCGAGCCTTTCGAACAAGCCGACGCGGGGTCCACGTAAGCGGTCGTTTTGTCGAAAGCAGAAGCGCACCCAAGTCATTCCCAATCACCAACACGTATCTGATGACAACTTGGGATTTGGGGCTACTGACGCCTGCCAACGCCTATCACAAGCACCGACAGGTGTCACAAGCCACCCACAAGCACCACCACTACACCTATGGGGTGGCTGCGGCGACCACGTCGGCCTGCAGAGCGGCGGCGGAGGCACCCACCCGTATTTTGATCTTCCTCGACTCGACGGGCTCCACCAGGCTCATGATGTACTTCATCTGGTGCCGGTACTGCGTCATCAGGCGGCGCTTGGTCTCGGCTGACAGATGCACGTACGGGAACTCGCGGCGCAGGTAGTCGAACACGTCCGCCTCTGTCGGACGACACGGCCGGCCGGGTCAGCCGTGCCGGGTCAGTCTCGACGCGCCACGAGCTGTACCGCCGCCCAGCCGACCGCAGGACGCCATCCCCGGTTGACGTTGGCCGCGTCAGGTTCCAGATTTCAGACCAAATGAGATGTTCAGCGCCGGTGTGAGGTGACACTACATCCTACTCCGCACAATCATGGGTAACAGTTATTCAATCGTGTGTCACTGGGTCTTTACGACGCACTCAGCTGCTGAGGCTATATGGCGTCGCCTGCCTCTCACCCTGGCGGGAAGGGCGGGCACCGCGAGAAATCGAACCCCGTACCTCTGGTTTCCCAGACACGTAGCGGTTAACAGTCATTGAATTGAAGGAAGAAAAAGAAAGTTCTGACGGCTTACAAAGCTCCACAAGGGACACTCATCGTCGACACATTCGCTACCGGCGGGGAGGGCTCAGCTGACCTTTGCCCTCGACCTTGAGGTACGTGTCGTCGGCCCCGGACTCGAGCCAGTCGGTGACGCCATCACTGCACACGGACCGGCGCGATTTCTGCTTGGTGTACGACACTGAAACGTAAACAAACGCCGGCGGCCGGTCAGTGGAGCGGCCATGGCGGCGCGGCTGAAGACGGCCGCCGTGGAGGCGCCGACCGCAACACATGGCAGCGGCCGGCAACACCACTACCTGGCCCCAAACGTACTCAGTATACGGTTCAAGCGTCCATGAACACGTCTGAGGACAATTCCCATCATGTATAATGTAGTTCACTCAGCAACACACCGCATGTTTACGCGAAAAAGACTAAAAGAGAGGTCTCCTCGCGCTGGTCCGCCTGACCCGCTCTGTCGGGGGCGGGGGGGGGGGGGGCGCTGCAGACCCTCCTCCGCCTGACTCACTCTATCGGGGGTGGGGCGCGATGCAGACCCTCCTCCGCCTGACTCGCTCTTTCGGGGGTGGGGCGCGCTGCAGACCCTCCTCCGCCTGACTCACTCTGCCGGGGGTGGGGCGCGCTGCAGACCCTCCTCCGCAGCACTCACTCTGTCGGAGGTGGGGCGCGCTGCAGACCCTCCTCCGCCTCACTCACTCTGCCGGGGGTGGGGCGCGCTGCAGACCCTCCTCCGCAGTACTCACTCTGTCGGGGGTGGGGCGCGCTGCAGACCCTCCTCCGCCTCACTCACTCTGTCGGGGGTGGGGCGCGCTGCAGACCCTCCTCCGCCTCACTCACTCTGCCGGGGGTGGGGCGCGCTGCAGACCCTCCTCCGCCTGACTCACTCCGTCGGGGGTGGGACGCGCTGCAGACCCTCCTCCACCTGACTCACTCCGTCGGGGGTGGGACGCGCTGCAGACCCTCCTCCACCTGACTCACTCCGTCGGGGGTGGGACGCGCTGCAGACCCTCCTCCGCCTCACCCACTCTGTCAAGGGTGGGGCGCGCTGCAGACCCTCCTCCGCCTCACTCACTCTGTCGGGGATGGGGCGCGCTGCAGACCCTCCTCCGCAGCACTCACTCTGTCGCGGGTGGGGCGCGCTGCAGACCCTCCTCCGCCTCACTCACTCTGCCGGGGATGGGGCACGCTGCAGACCCTCCTCCGCCTCACTCACTCTGTCGGAGGTGGGGTGCGCTGCAGACCCTCCTCCGCCTCACTCACTCTGTCGGGGATGGGGCGCGCTGCAGACCCTCCTCCGCAGCACTCACTCTGTCGCGGGTGGGGCGCGCTGCAGACCTTCCTGCGCACCTCGCGGCGCACCGTCTCCTTCTGCAGCTGGTCGCCAGCCTCCTCGCGCGTCGTCTCCACGATCGCCCGCTCCTCGCCCGTTTCCCGGATCTGACCGGGCGGCGGCGGAGCGTTGGTTACGCGGACTCGGGTCGCGGCCGGTTATCGCCCGCTTCCGAGCGCACGTCGCCGTCCCCTGTTTAACCTGTTCCCGACCGCGGAGCGGGGCTCTCAAGACTCGGCCGAGTCCTTGCTTCCCCGGCTTTTGGGGGGTTGACAACAGATCGGGTGTTTAGTCAGAGCCGCGGCACTTCCAGTACCTTCCCCCACAGCCCTTCGACATGCTTTGTTAAAGTCGTGGCACGCGCTTGGGTGGTGGTGGGGGTCAATTCGACCCCCAAGATTTTTCCAGAGTAGTTTCCCAAAGGCGCGGCATAGTGGTGCCAAACAGACAGGCATAATCCAAAGTCGCCCTCAGGTCAGAGTAGGTCACTGACCTGACATGACCCTGTTCAGCGTCATCTTTGATGCCAAGCGTAATCTTAAACGCTTATTCAAATTAAAAAAATAAAACAACTTCGTACGTATCTGGTCACCATGACCTTCTTAAGGTCAAACAGGTCACTGACCTAGAATGAGAACCAATGGCCTACCTACCTGAGCGTTTGCATGCATCCATTTTAGACACCAACCTGTAGTTTGACTTTTTTTGACATTATTTTACCCGAAGGTCATCACCTAGAAACCTCAAATGTTGACACAGATCAGTTCCCATACAGGCAAACGCACCCAGTGAATTTGGTGTAGCTAAGTCTCTTCGCTTTTGAGAACTCAGGGAGGTCAAACTGACCCACCACCGAGCATGTGGCAGTCAACCGGTCACCCGAGGGCGTGTTAGGTCCCATCAGGTAACAGATTTGCCACAGTTTAGCGAGTCTTCGAAGCCGCCGATATTTGTGGTAACTTGCCCCTCCCGGACTGTGTCCTGCTAAACACTCGGCGCCCGAGCCCAGCCTCCGCCGCTGCACAGACACAGACAGACAACAGACCACCCTGGCATAGAGTGCTGCCCGGACCGACCACACCGGCACAGACCGCTGCCCACACGGACCACGACAATCACAGATTCAGACAGACCACGGACCACAACGGCACAGACCGCTGCCGGGACCAACCTCGGCAATGGTCTCGATGTTGCGCGGCGGCACGCGCGACACCCCGCGCCGGCCGATCGCCGGCTCGCTGGTGGTGCTGCGCTCGCTGGCGGAGCGGCACCGCGACGGCCGGCGGCCGGGCGCGCTGAGGTCGCGCCGGCTGCCGCGCGCCACCGCCGCCTCCCACGTGCTGCGGCGCCGGCCGGCGTCGTCTCGCCGCTCGTCACGCGCCATCGAGGATGATGCTCCCGAGCGCTGCCGGCCAGCGGGCGTCACCGTCAGGTCATGGTGCGGCGCGGGTCGGATTGGAGCTGGGTCAGGTCACGGTTAGGTCAGGTCAGAGACGAGCCCAGTCAGGGTCAGGTGAGGTAGGGGCGGCAGAGGTCACGGTCGGGTCAGCTCAGGGTCAAACCGGGCTAAATCAGTCCGGTCACGGGGTCATGACAGGTCACGGTCCGGGAGCGCCCAGGCTGGCGCAGGTCAGGCTGGACGGCATGTGCGGAGAACGCCAGGCTCAGGACCATCCCAGCCACCGATCCCCTTGACTATGACCTTGTTCGACCCGACCCACAGCGGACGATACTGGCACGAGGCATGAGGAGGCGGCACCGCACAGGGGACTGGGGCCAAGGTCACGTCCAGCCGCCTATCCGTAACGGCAAGAACATCGCGAACTATAGCCGGCCACAAAAAGCAGTTAGTCTCCTCAGCCATAGCTCAGGGTGCGTTTATATTCCTGTAAACTTAAAAACGCCACTCCAGGGATCACGTGCTTTAAAGCTGCCAAATTCTAATAGTTTTCCATGTGATCTAGTCAGCTATTGTTGTAAACACGGGGTTGGCGCACATAATAAACACGTCCATATTAAACACAGAAGCAGCATTGCATGTTAACTGTTAGACGTGAGTGCTGAAGACATCAGTAAAGGGGAGCAGAGCCAAACGAGTAAGAGTGCCATGAATAAACGTCAGTCGATTTTGCGCAGCATGTGTACGTCAACAGCTTTTGGAGGACCTTTGTCTTTCTTGGTCATAGGTGTAACTGCATCTCCGATATTGCGGGGAGCAAATCAGGACTGGAAGGGCCACACGGGAATATAGAGGGAAACGCGGCCTAACGTGGCATTTCAACTTTCATTGAGTTCCAGATGTGCGGCTTCCTGAACATAAGGGGTACCCCTAACATAGAACAGGGGATTCCTAGTTCGTAACGGGGCCTCCCGACCCAGCAAAGCAAGCAAAGGGGCTTCCTTAGCATAGCATAGAGCCTACGACTCTAGAGTATGGGGTGCTTTATACATAAAGGCGGCCTTATGGTCCAGACAAACGGTCTCGTGGTGTGAGGAAAGATTTTCTGAGTCTGATTTATTATTATCTGGCTCAGTTATGGGGGCCTCCTTGAACCTCATTTTTATCATCCACGGGTAGCTACCTTACCTTCGGTTGGGGAAAATGGGCCGCCCCCCCCCCCCCTCCCCCAACATACGTACGTCGGTCGCATGCGTAATGTGATCGGCGCCTAGGTGTTAGGTAGTACACAACTACAGGGCTGGGCTGGGCTGGGCTGGGCTGGGCTGAGCTAGGGCTAAGTCTAGGGCTAGGGCTAGGGCTAGGGCTAGGGCTAGAGCTAGAGCTAGGGCTAGGGTTAGGGCTAGGGATAGGCTAGATATAGGGCTGGATAGAGGGGCTGGGGTAGGACAGTGCATTGCCTCGCAGGGCATGAAATGACCGGGGGCAGCGGGCGGTGGGAGGATGGAGCAGAAAGCATTCGCCCCCAAAACCTATGCACAACATTTAAGATGGCAGCGGCACATATTACACCCGGTGGTAAACATAAAGAACGGAGAACGGGGGGAAGGGGGAATTGGGGCCAGTCCCCCCTATCCCAATTTCAGCTCCAGCTCCCGAAATTTGAGGTGACCTAGAGCCATGGAAACATCCATTTCTCGCTTATTTAGAGAGCAGGTGTGGTCATTTCTCACTGGCCAGTCCAACCTACCCAACTCGTGTTGCTAAACGGCATCCCTGCTTGGTGCTGGCTTGCTTTTTCACGAGTCATTTACGAGTCACCACACGCAGTGTCTCTGTGCCTGCTGCGCCACGTGCTGTGTCTGTGTGCTGTGCCACTTGATGTGTCTCTGTGCGTGCTGTGCCACGTGCTGTGTCTCTGTGTGTGCCGTGCCACTTGATGCGTCTTTGTGCGTGCTGTGCCACGTGCTGTGTCTCTGTGCCTGCTGTGTCTCTACTCTCGTCATTACTCATTACGATCAGTGCGAAGGCCGTGATAGGCCAGAATGAACACTTTTGTGTCAAACTCCAAGCCGGTGTGCGGGTCCGGTGGTGGCAATCTGACCAGAGCCGTGCACTTATACGGACTTATGACCATGTCCATACCAATGGCCATACAATATAGTATGACCATGTAGTATGAACCATCCGCTCACCTTGCCAAGCATAGCTGCTTCTCGAGCTTGGGGTTGACAAGACCTCTTACAACTACGAGACAACCCCGTCGCGCAGCCGCTGAGGCGTATGCTGTCTGCTTACATTTCGCGGGTCTAGCAGCTCATGCTCCGCGAACACTGTAGTTTGGTAGCTTTGTAACAGATTTTCTCTACGGGTGGCATTTTTTATCTACAGGAATATATTCGCTATCTGGACAGTTCGGGCTTTGGAACACTGCGTGGACAGTCCCTAGCTCAAACTGAGTCAAGTTGCATCCTTTCTCTAAATCACATGGCGGGGCCACGTCTGGCTATGACACTTATTCAGAAAAACATTCATAAATTTCCTTCGCCATACATAGCCAGACTATGTCTGGCCATGACACTACGTCGGGACACATACCGTTGAATCCAACTGTCTCGACAAAAAGCTTTCTCTCTTAGTGGCGCTGGGACGGCTCATCTGGATTGAGAGGGAAAAGGTTTTCGGTCACGAGGTCATCACATACACCACTGCTTGCGTACACAAAAGCACTGGTTTCACATTTACTTTGCATCTAAAGAAACCTCATTTCGGCACACGCACAACTTACCAAACAGTCGTGTAACAAAGGATATTGATGAGATTAATTACAATTGAAAGATAATTAATTTGTATTATTACGATAGCGATTTTCTTTCAACTAATGCAAAAAGGCAAGAAAGTGGAACACAACAAAAGAGCATAAGGAACAGATAGAGTAGCAAACACGTAAAAACGCAAAAGGCTGAAGAAAATGAGCGTCCCACACGCGACATTGTGTACGTATATCCCTCCCTAACGGAGGTACGTTAGTATACCGTGAAAAGTTGAGCAAGGGCTGCACAGCACGTTCTCCGGGCCGATACCAAGCAGACGGCTATAACACCTAGGACCAATGTCATGGTGATGTACTAGCGACGCAGAAATGTTGCTTAAGCATGCGATTGACTTGCTCACCACCTCAGCAGTTGGATACTCACATCAGCATGAAAGGACAGGCACACACAATGAACTGACAGGAACGCAGCAACGTCAGCCGAAGAACCCTCGCGAAAAAGCGACAGGCCTCCCAATGATACAGGACAAACAGCCTCCTCCCAGGTTTGTGAAACAAGTGCCGTGGCTGCACCAAAAAATAATTCCCAACGAAGCGGATCCACCCACACCACTCCCAAGTGAAACCTCCCGTGAATCTTAAGCTGGGTCAATGAGGCAAATTTTTTTCTAGAAATAAAGTGCCCGTCTACGTGCGTTTTTCATCGCGGATCCATCCGACCAGGGGATCGGACAGTACCAATAACCTTATTCCTCGAAGAAAAACCAGGAGAATGGACATGTAGCCGCGTTTCTCGGCAGAACAGGCTATTACTACCGTCTCATTTATGTGTACGTTCCCTGCAAATGCACTGAACAACTTACGATAATGGGATCGATCGATATGTACGAACGGGATCGATATGTACAGGGGATCGATATTGCACTACCGACCAGTTGCGGCCAACAATTGTAACCAACCCGACCGCGCCCGAGTGCTATACGTTCAGAATTTTTAAGCCGAGTTATCGATCTTCAAGACGCCATAATTAGATGACTACATTTAATCAGTGTCTCTTGATACCTTATGGAAGGTTGATAACTCAGCATAGGAAACATGAATTCATAATGCTGGAAAAGAGGAGCTGAAGGCCTTTTTTGGTTATACTAACGGCCTGAATGTTCTGTGTTCTACGAATTCTAGAGGGCCAGGCTTGTAACCCTGGACGCCGTCCACAAGCGTTTCCGATCCTCCCCCGTTTAGCTCCACACAAACGCACATTCCATAACGTTACAAGGCCTTACAGCACAGCAAGGTCGACAGCACTTCTGAAAGCGGGCCGCGCTTAAACCTTCGCATCAGTTCCGCAACTGATCAGTTAAGCAGCAAAACACCTTATAAGGCCATAGATGTACCAGGGGTCGTCAAGTAGGTTACGTTGCATTTAGAGGCGCGAGGGGGAGGAGCAAAGCTGAGGCACAGCAGTGAGGAGGAGAGAGGCTGGACAGCGAACATTGCCTCGGGCGTGAGAACAGACCGGGCAAAGATCTTCTTTTTTAATTCCAAACCTCAAACCAAATGCCTTCTTTTCGTCTCACGCTACAACACGCGCGTGATTAGTTTCGCATTTTTAGCTTCATTACGGACCGAATGGACGTCCTCTTCACACAGCGTAGCTTGGGGAGGGGTTTTGCTATGCGCGGCCATGGAGCAACCAGGAGAGACTGGCAAAGGTCATCAAAGCTAAAATGCGCAACATTACCTGCGGACAGCCATCAATCAAGTAACGTAGCAAACGCATTCGCACTTGTACGGTGAATTAACTGTTCTATTTGTTCGTGCGTCGTACCAAGCAATTTGCCATTTGAACCATTACTCGAATCTATGCTATAACCGTTCCTAAATAAATAACTCTGACGAGAAGATCTATCGCTACAGCATTTAAATCTCATGGCCACGACGTTGGCCACAACACCACGGGAGCGGCGCACATACTGGGACCGCCTGTCGGTGGACATCATGTGCGGACGGCTGTCAGGCGGCAGGCGAGTGCCGCCGCTCAGCTCCCCGCCGCGGCAGGGCCGAGCGCCGCGCGCCTCTGGCCGCCGGCGCGTCCCACCTTGGCGCCGCTAGCCACCGGCGAAAGAACGCCAGCCGACTCGCGCGCTTGCTGCAGCTCTTCACTCAGCTGACGGCTGATGTCCACCCCGGCGTCCTCCTCCTCCTCGTCGTCCTCATCCTCCTCCTCCTCCTCGTCCGACTCGCACTCCTGGCTGTCCTCGTCGCCCCGGTAGTCCTCCCGACTCAGGTCCTCCTGGCCGGTGTCCTCGTCCTCGTGTTCGGTGTCAGCCAGGCTGCCGGTGGCCGCGTCCTCCTCGGCCGTCAGGCTCTGCATCGTCTGTCGGCCGCCACCGCCCGGTCTCTGGCCAACCTGTCCCGGCACGCTACGCCGCCCGTCCCACCGGCAGCCGGCACCCGGCACAGCGGGGGTTAAGGGTGACGATCGTGAGACGCGGCCGGCGAGCAGGGGATGAGAGACAGGCGGTAGCGAAGGCAACACGGCTCCCCGCTTCCCTGCCAGGATCGGGACATGGCGAGGAACATTGCGGGATGCATTTGAATTCACAAATATTTGACTAGTGGGCCACAGATTATCAGGACGGACAAAGGGTGATCATAATGACGGGCAGTTTCTTTCCCTCTGTGCAGAGATAAACTCTCACGAAGTCTGCCACCAACTAAGCAGGGTTCGCGGGCAGACCGAGCTTTCCACGGGCGTCCGTCCGGCGGCGGACGCGGGCCTGGGCGGCAGGCGAGCCGACCGACCTCCTCCTGTGTCGTCTGCTCGCTCGTCTCCTGCTCGTCCTCCTCGTCCTCGTGCTCGTCCCCGTAGTAGCGTCCGCCGGCGGCGGGCGGCTCGTCCGTCATCTGGGGACGCGTCCCGCCTCAGGACCCGCCTCCAGCACCGCCTCCCGTCCGCCGCGGCGCCGGACCGGCCGGGCCGGCCGCCGCGCCGGCAGACGTTGCGCCCCGACCCCGTCCCACGCTGGGCGGCTGTCTACGGTCGAGGAAGCGATTACCACCAACCGGTGTGAACTGACAATGAAGCCGGTGCCTGACGCCACACGTGCAACAGGGTGGAGCTTTGCTTCCCACCTGGTAAACAGCTGCAACCGACATGCGAAAGCCATCCCGCCGTCACCATGACGTTCGGACAGCCCGGTAAGACAGTCACACCAGCACCCGAGCCGACGCTATGCACACACGGATACCCAGCGCGAACTGCCACTTATCCTACCTTCATCGTGCAGTGATGTACGGCCGCCGCCACCACCACTACCACCACCACAGAGCCCGGACTCATACCTACCCCAGCCAGAACCAACAGCCATTGCCATAGCTTCCCAACAGGCGCCGACGTACCTCCGTGCCCTCGTCGTCGTCCTCCAGTTCACCCTCGTCCTCGTACTCGTCCTCATACTCGTACTCGTCCTCGCCCTCGCCGCCGTCCTCGTAGTGGTGGTAGTGGTGGTGGTCGATGCTGCCGGTGACGCGGACGCCGCCACCGCTGGCGCTGGGTCGCGCCGCCACCAGGCTGGGCCGCGCGGCTGAGGCGCGCCCCAGGTTGGCGAACTCGCCACCGGGGCCAGACGGCGCGCGCGCAGCGGCGAGCCGACGGCCCCCGACGACTCCGACTCGGCCACTGCGGGGATCACACGCCCGTCGACACCGGTCGTCCCAGTGCCGGCAGAGAACAGGCCTCTGCGCTCGGAAATCTGGAGCTATGCGTGCCGCGATCCGTCGTTAATGGGGCTTTCAGACGCACTCAGCTGCTGAGGCTACATGACGTTGCCTGCCTCTTACCCTGGCGGGAAGGGCGGACAACGCAGGGTATCGAACCCCGTACCTCTGGCTGCTCAGACGCGCGGTGGTTAACGCAGACGCGTTTATCACTACGCTATCGCCACCCCGATCCCGCTCCGTAACGCGTCATCTAAGTCAATGGGCCTGAGAGGTTACAGTGTACGTTAACTACGTGCAGCAACTCTACGTGCAGTAGGGAGGGCAACGAGCTATCACATAGTTTGTAAAAGATAAAACAACAGCACACAATCCGCAGTTCAGGCGCGTGCCTCGATTACGGATTCTGCCCCATAAGTGGCAACCAAACAACAAATACAGAACACCTTCACAAAGCAGCAACGTCCCAAACCCGAAAGTGACTGGAATCCACGACCAAAAGAGCCCCCGTCGCAGCTCGAGCCTCCAGTCGAGCAGCAGATAGCCTCTCGCTGGCTGTCGCCAGCCGGCTGCACTTACTGTCCGCGCCGACGTCCCCGGAACGGGAGGCCTTGGCGCTGGCGTGGCTGGAGCCGGCGCGCACGGCGCCCGAGCCGCTGCTGCCGGCGGCGCCGGCGGCGCCCACCCGCCCGCTGGAGGAGCGCGCGGCGGCGGCCGGGCCCGACTCGCTGCTGGGCAGCAGGGACGCCTCAGCCTCGGCGCCGGCCGAGGTGGCCGAGCTGGCCGGCATCGGACCGGAGCCGCTCGACGTCTGCTTCAAGGAGGCCGCGCCAGCCGAGCCGACCTTGCCCACTCCCGAGCCGCTGGAGGGCACCCTGCCCACCCCCGAGCCGCTGGAGGGCACCCTGCCCACTCCCGAGCCGCTGGAAGGCACCCTGCCCACTCCCGAGCCACTGGAGGGCACCCTGCCCACTCCCGAGCCGCTGGAGGGCACCCTGCCCACTCCAGAGCCGCTTGAGGGCACCCTGCCCACTCCAGAGCCGATGGAGGGAACCCTGCCCACCCCCGAGCCGCTGGAGGGAACCCTGCCCACGCCCGATCCGCTGGAGGGCACCCTGCCCACTCCCGAGCCGCTTGAGGGCACCCTGCCCACTCCAGAGCCGCTGGAAGGAACCCTGCCCACGCCCGAGCCGCTGGAGGGCACCCTACCCACTCCCGAGCCGCTGGAAGGAACCCTGCCCACTCCCGAGGCGCTGGAGGGAACCCTGCCCACGCCCGAGCCGCTGGAGGGCACCCTGCCCACTCCAGAGCCGCTTGAGGGCACCCTGGCCACTCCAGAGCCACTGGAGGGGACCCTCGCTGCTGCTGACCCGCTGGAGGGCACTCTAGCCACCCCTGATCCGCTAGAAGGCATTCTCGCAGCCGAACCGCTGGACGGAACTTTGTCCACTCCGGATCCACTCGAAGGCACTCTGGCGGCTGATCCACTGGAAGGTACTTTAACCGCTCCAGAGCTAACAGATGGTATTCTCTCCACCCCTGATCCACTGGACGGAACTCTTGCTGCCGAACCGCTGGAAGGTACTCTGTCCACTCCCGCGTCACTGGATGGCACTCTTCCCGCTGATCCGCTGGAAGGCACTCTCGCTGCTGATCCACTGGAGGGCACTCTCGCCGCCGATCCACTGGATGGCACTCTTGGCACCGATCCACTGGAAGGCACTCCCGCCGCCGATCCGGAGGAGGGCACCCTCACGACGCCGGAGCTGGCGGCGGCGGGCGCGCCGCCCAGCGAGGCGGCGCTGGAGCGCACGCGCGCCACACCGGCGCCGTCGGACGGGACGGCGCCGGCCGCCGAGGCGCTGGTCGAGGCGCGCACGCCGGCGCCGCTGCCCGACGCACGGGCCGCCGCTGACAGCTGACGGGATCTGGCGGCACAGGGAAGACGCTGATGACAGCGCTGCAAGCGCTGTTGGTTTTTCAGTCGTGAATAAGAAACCGTGTCAGATCTGTGTGTGTCATTGGGGTTTTACGACGCACTGAGTGCTGAGGCTATATGGCGTCGCCTACCTCCCACCCTGGCAGGAAGGGCGGGCACCGCGGGGAGTCGAACTCTGGTTTCCTCTGGTTTCCCAGACGCGCAGCGGTTAACATGTCAGATTTTAGTCAAGGCGCTGCTTAGTCGCGAGATAACAAATGCTCACCTTGTGCTATCCAGCTGCCGTTCCCTGACCCCCGCTCACCACCGGGATAACATCTACACAGACATGTTATCACGATTGGTGAAATACATCTGGGTTGAGACAGTGATAGGTCAAACATCGGACTCCTCGTCCACCGACAGGGCCATGTCGGCAGGGCCGTTACCGCCTCTGAGCAGATGTGGAAACTTTCTACTGAACGGTGGAACGGCACGGTTATAAACACCCAGTAAACTTGTATAGAACAGCCTTTAGACACAAGAGGTACATTTGATCACTAAATTACATTCAGAGTACCTGGGGAATGACTAATGCTTACATTATGATACTGTTGAACGTCTTTGTCAATTAGCACTAGCTTCCCCTACTTACATGAGGTAGTGGCACAAAACCGACACGGCGACTTCCGAGGCCGATTGTGAGCAGGCCCTGCCCTCCCGACAGGAGCCCATGCCAGGCTCCGGCCGTCCCAGCTCTGGCCGTCCCGGCTCCGGCCGTCCCGGCTCCGGCCGTCCCAGCTCTGGCCGTCCTGGCCCCGGCCGTCCCAGCTCTGGCCGTCCTGGCCCCGGCCGTCCTGGCCCCGGCCGTCCCGGCTCCGGCCGTCCCAGCTCCGGCCGTTCCGGTCCCGGCCGTCTCAGCCCTGGCCGTCCCGGCTCCGGCCGTCCCGGCTCCGGCCGTCCCGGCTCCGGCCGTTCCGGTCCCGGCCGTCTCAGCCCTGGCCGTCCCAGCTCTGTCCGTCCCGGCTCCGGCCGTCCCAGCTCTGGCCGTCCCGGCTCCGGCCGTCCCAGCTCCGGCCGTCCCAGCTCTGGCCGTCCTGGCCCCAGCCGTCCCAGCTCTGGCCGTCCCAGCTCTGGCCGTCCTGGCCCCGGCCGGTCCGGCTCCGGCCGTTCCGGTCCCGGCCGTCTCAGCTCTGGCCGCCCCAGCCCCGGCCGTCCCAGCCCCGGCCGTTCCAGCTCCGGCCGTCCCAGCTCCGGCCGTCCCAGCTCCGGCCGTCCCGGCTCCGACCGTCCCGGCTCCGGCCAACCCAGCTCCGTCCGTCCCGGCTCCAGCCATCCCGGCCCCGGCCGTCCCAGCTCCGGCCGTCCCGTCTCCGGTCGTCCCAGCTCCGGCCGTCCCGGCTCCGGCCGTTCCGGTCCCGGCCGTCCCGGCTCCGGCCGTCCCCGCTCCGGCCGTCCCCGCTCCGGCCGTCCCCGCTCCGGCCGTCCTGGCTCCGGCCGTCCCAGCTCCGGCCGTCCCCGCTCCGGCCGTCCCCGCTCCGGCCGTCTCCGCTCCGGCCGTCCTGGCTCCGGCCGTCCCAGCTCCGGCCGTCCCCGCTCCGGCCGTCCCGGTCCCCGCCGTCCCAGCTCCGGCCGTCCCAGCTCCGGCTGTACCGGCTCCGACCGTGCGCAGGTGCGCGCCCCGCCGGCGGCCACGGTCACCACTCTGTCGACTAGCCAGCTCCACTTCGACGGACACTGCCTGCGGGCTGCCGCACTAACCATTCGCCGACGAACGACACCCGCTCTGTGTCAGCTATCACACAAATACGAGCCAGGACAAGTCGGTGCGGTGCTTCTGCCAGTTCGGCGTGCGGGGCCAGGCCGATAGCGCCCGGCGGCCGGGTCCAACACCGGGGCCCGCTCCGGCCCGGCAGCTCATACCGGTCGGGGCCGACTGAGCGGCGGTGGAGCCCGAACTTGGCCCCGGGCGACCGGCCGGCCGCTCTGCCCCCGGCAGGGGCGCAGTCAGGGCGCGCCGGCGGCGGGCCTGCCCCGGCGCCCTCGGCAGGGGCGCAGTCAGGGCGCGCCGGCGGCAGGCCTGCCTCGGCACCCTCGGCAGGGGCGCAGTCAGGGCGTGCCGGCGGCAGGCCTGCCTCGGCAGGGGCGTAGTCAGGGCGCGCCGACAGCAGGCCTGCCCCGGCACCCTCGGCAAGGGCGACGGCAGGCCCAGCGGCGGCAGCAACTGTCCCCGCGCCCTGCCCCGCTACCAGGGACCAGCTCCATAGAGCGAGACCACAACGTGGGTCTTCCTAACTTGCGCGGTAGCACTCACCAGTGCTCCTTGCTTTCACCGACTCTTCGTAAGCCGCGGTGGTGCAATAATCGAAATATGTACAATTGTGCTTGATTTCACAGGTGCGTGATATTAAGCGGCAATAAAGCATTAAACTCCCTATGAAATGAAGCTATTCCCACTTGTACGCTTGCAAAATGTGATACAAGAGTGGTGTGTCCAGGTTCTCCCAAATAAATCGCAATACTGGCAGCGGCTTACCCCAACGCCGACACCAAGAGTTGAGCATTCGCAGCCCTTGGGGATTCAAATATTGCGGTCCATGGAAATGGATTCGGATTGTAATTCAAATTCGAATAAATATAACCTACCACTCCTACTAAAACTACTACTTTTCATTCGCGCTATTCAGCTCGATGCGGAACCACTATATAGGCGCTTAACTGACCTTACAACTTTGCAAGCCCAGGTTATATTTACCGTATTTGCCTGCATATCCAAACAGGGGTTTTCAGGAGCTCGTGCACGTTTCAGGATTTGAATCCTGCTGTTCAGGGTTCCAATCGTCCGTCTTAAGACTTGAGAATTCCCAAGATTTGAATAGAGTTGAATAATTCTGAATGACCGCAAGTTCAAGTCATCGGTTCCAGAAGTCATTCATAATGGTAGTCGCGGCCCGCACCTCACCACTAGAGACGGTCGGGATCGGACCGCACCTCACCACTAGGGACGGCCGAGATCGGACCGTACCTCACCACTAGAGACGGCCGGGATCGGCAGCAGATGAACGAAAAACGAACGACTTTCGTAAGCTCTTCGTCCGAAGTACCGTAGCTTCCCCAGTATCCGTCAAGACTGCTATCACAAATTTCCACACTGACAGGCAAAAAGCCGCTACTTCCCTCCCGGGAGGTTAATTTTTCTCCGAACACCGGCGAGTTTGGACAGAGTTCCTGCAACAGTCCCCAATATCTAGTGTAAGCCCCTCTGCTCATGAAGTCCATGGCCTTGGAGGCCGTGACACTTGCGAGGAACCATGGACCATGATTCATAGTCCACAATCCATGTCCTCCCCTTCCCTTGGCAACGCCCCTGTACACTGCACCACTTCAGCTTAATCCACCACGGTAGCTTGAACATGACTGTCACCGAAAGGCTGGCGGGAAAAGCACAACCTACACAGAGGCAGGTAATGATAACTCGCCTGTCGATGAACCTCATTTCCCGCATGCCCGACACTTACACCTACCCCACAGCATTACCTGACTACTGAGATCATCCCATCACACCTTGGTCCACGACCCCGATGCCATCCAGCTGACTTGCGTGGTGCATGACCGATCCGTACACCGTTACATAGTTGCCGCATGCGATTGTGAGAAGCCTGAAGTGTGCGGAACGCTCGACTGAGCTGGGGGACGGCGGAGGAAGTCAGGCTCCCTCTCACCACATGGGCTGCGGTCAGGTCACGCGCCGCCCCCTCCCCTTGGCCCGACCCCTCCCCGCCCCACCCGAAACCACCGCACGCTTACAGTGACACGACTGGCTCCTCGCCCTCCTCCTCTTCATCAAGTCCGGCCAGATCCGCGGCGTCCTCCCCAGCAGGAGGAGCGTCCTCAGAGGGAGGAGGATCGTCCTCAGAGGGAGGCAGACCGTCCTCAGAGGGAGGCGGCTGGTCCTCACTCTCCTGCAACACAAAGGGCACCCGTCAGCCCAGGCTTGCCGGCAGTGGCTTAAGAGCCCCTTTGAATGTGTGAGCTTGGCAAAGTAACTTCACGTACTAGCCTCCGCTGCTACATTCCACCACCAAAAGCACATCATCATTGCCTGCATTTTCTCGACTTGCTTCGCGGCTACGTTCAGCAGAGTGCGTAGTTTGATAACGGAGAGGGTACTACAGGTATCTTGCTACGAACAAAACAAATCTAAAAACGTCCAAGCAGCACAACTTAAGCATAACACTAAAGAGTGTCTCTTGCGAGTGGACCAAAGCCGGCTTCGCACCAGGGACATCCGTTCACTGACAAGAATGTGACAATGCTAGCAGCAGTGGCAGACCACAAAAAGGTCATACGAGGGGGTAGTGCCGTTACGTCATCAGGACAACTCGCTCACCGTCCTCCGTTCCGCACGTGGGCTGGACGTGGAGGAGTGCCTGTATGCCAGACATACCATTACATGCCAGAGCGCTTACACAGACCAGGTGCAGCCGGCGTGGAACCTGATTAAATCAGTCAGTCCCTTTCTCCCTCTCCCCTGACCTGCTCTGATGGCTGCTCCAGTTCTGACTGGCCCGCTCTGATGGCTCCTCCAGCTCCGACTGACCTGCTCTGATGGCTCCTCCAGCTCTGAGAGCTCCTCCTGGCCGGCGTCGGTAGTCACCTCGTCGGAGGAGGGCGCACTGCTCAGCTCGTTGTCCGTCTCCGTCAGCGTCTCCTCCAGGTTCCATTGTCCTGGGCGACAACAGCGCGCGGCACCAGTCAGCGCTACTGGGCCGCCGATCCTTCACTGGCGCTTCCGATCGCTGATCTCTAACTCATGGATCGTCTTCTCGAACAGGAAGAGATCAGTGAAATTATTACATAAGATCTATACCTTGGGACTGCAGGAGCTAAGAGCAGAGAAGGTACCCCCCTAGCTAGCGCTTAGTTAGCTAAATAAAGTGCCTACAAGTACCACAGGGCTGTTGCGGTATGGTGTTCATCTCGATCGCTCACGTGGCTAGAGCGGCTGCCTCCCGATCTACCCACCAGTGGCGGGGCGGGTTGGGTTGGGTCGTTTTCGGTGTTCCCTATTTGACCCCGACAGAAACGGCCTGCGGTCGGTGGCAGCGCTCGTGCTAAAGGTCAGTTGACGTCCAAGGGCAGGACGCACCGTGCCGAGCATTGCGGAACGTTAAACTTTCGCCACCCAACTCTGTCCTTGACCTGGAATCGCGCGGTCGGATGGCGGGAGTCGGGCCCCGCACCAGCCTGTTCAGTTTGAGCTCTGATCCCAGAAATCCATCCACTCAAAGACTTCGGATCAAATATTGTTAAAAAGTCGTTAAGATGCTGGGCCCTGACCCTCTCGTCGTCTCCAGTCCGAGCCCCCCGCCACGCCACCTGCGCGTTCCGCGTAATGCGGAATACGGTGGTAAAAAGGCATCCGTCTCGAAATAGCGCTCGCAGTCGGTGAGACGTAAAGCCTCCCAGAAGAACTGTTCCCCGGGGATATCAGCACGCAGACGACTGATACCGTCAATGTACCCTGGCATTTTCCCGACAAGGCGCCATGTCCATGGAGGTGAACACTGGCAAGCTCTTGTAAGGATCTCCCACAGCCAGTTGGCAAATACTTAGGACAGCGCCAGTCACTGCCACCTTAAAAACAAGCTGATGCATACCAGTGCGTGAGACAACAGCGTTACAGCTTAATGGAAGGATTAGGACGAGGCATTAATATCACGAATGGACTACATGCTCTATTGGGCTACCATATGGACTATATGGACTATATGGACTACATGCTACATGCTCTATATGGACTATTGTCCTCGTCTGGCCTGTCGGTATGTTCACAACGTTTCGGCCAGTTACCCTCTCCGGCCATCGCCGTGTGTCACAGAGCCCTTAAAGGACTGGATGTTGTTTGGCTTTCAGTCACAATCCCAACTATCCCCCTGGAATTGCTCGGGTTCAAGCCAGGGATTTCTCAGCCCGAGTCCAGTTTTCTACCAACTGAGCTGACTGGGAAGGTTAGCTAACTAGGAAGGTAAGCTGGCTAACTGGGAAGGTTAGCTAGCTGCCTGCAAACGTTAGCTCAGTTAGCAGGTCACGGCCTTAAGAACGCCATGTCAGATCTATACAGCGATCTTGCTGGAGCTCGCTAACACTTGCTTAGTGAAAGCAGAGAAATTCATCAACATGCACTTGGCTAACCTCATACGAGCTAACAAGAGCCAACTAAAGCCTTCTACGCAATTATCCGGCCAAATAAAAACAAAACAGTCCACCACAACTTCACCGAAGGACAATGTCTGAGTAGTCCCCTGTTTCCCCACATAAGGGCAGGACCCGGCACGACTCGCCGCCATTCACCGATGGACGTGGAGCTGAGGTACTTGTGCAAGCCGCAGAAGATCTCCAGCAGGTTATAGATGGCGCGCGGATCGCCGGCGATGACGTCGGCGCCCGAGATGTGCGAGAGATCGATGTGGATCAGGTCGAGCGCCAGGTGGTTGATGATCGCCTGCACGTTGGCCACCTCCTCCTCGGTGTTGGTCGGCGTCTCGATGATGCCTGGCGGGACAGGGACGCGGTCAGCACGGTCGGACGGCGCACGGCAAACACGCGTTGACGTGATTACGTCAGCAGTCCCGCTTGCTGGCAACAGATGGCGCCACGGTCGACGGGCCAATCACACCTGTCACCGCTAGATGGCAGTGGCGGTGAGCAGTAATGCACCTGAGGTGGAACATCACGATACATTAAAATCCCGTTCGTACCCGCTAGCGCTCACGATTAGAAGACCGAGCGATGCATCATGCACACCTGCATGCGTACCGACCATGCATGCCCGCACCAGAGTGGCATGGCGTTTCACTTCAGCTACTAAGCACAGACAGCTGCTACGAATACTGACGTGAGTGTGTTGGTAAAGACCTTAGCTTTCCTTACTCAACCGCCCTATTTACAGCGTGCGTCCTTCGGATCACGCAAGAGAATGTAGAACATCCCGTACACATGAGCTTAGGAGCCATGACTCGAGATAGCCGAGCGGCCTGCAAACAAGGCGTCATGCGGGTTGTGAGCCTCACCTTCGGGTACCCGATGGTAGAGCACCTGCAGCAGGCTGGTGAACAAGTTGGAGCGGATGCCATCGATGCTAGTGACGCGGGGGATCGGCAACTCGCAGCGTTCGATGATCTTATTGGAGAGCTTGACGCAATCTTAGGAGGCACGCACGAGTGTCAGTGCCGTGTTTCGTAACTGGGATCCCTTAATTTTCTTAAGACCAGAGGAGCAAAGTACAGTATCCCTGAGGACCAGCATGGGCAATGAAAACTGGGCGATGAAACTGGGTATGGATAATTATGATACTTCAAACATAGAAAATGTAACATGGTCTGTGTCTGATGCCTGCTGACATAGGTGGCTAATTTCTAAAAGCCACACATAATTCCAAAGGGAAGGCATGCAATAGTCAACCATATTACATTTCTTATCTATGCTTACCTACCACAACTGTTTTGGAAAAGGCAGTAATGGGATGAGCATTTGCAATCACCCAAGCCTGGTGTTATTTTATTTCAGCAGTCAAGTATTCCCTCAGACACCATGTGCATTGTCACATGCGAAGGCATGACATGTCACTGGTAAGGTAGGTACCAATGACAGGTTTGCCAATGCTTCCAAAAAATCTAAGGCACACCACACCATTGTGCGGAAAACATCGCTTGGTTGGCTGAGTCTTCACGTTAGGAACTTAAACAGGTAATGAAACCAGGTGATACTGTGCATGGCCCAATGACGCAAGTCACTTGCCAATACAACAGCACCAACATTCTGACTGCTGGACCACTGGGAAGCAACTGCTAGTAATTGCTTGGATTCATGGTGAACAGAAGATAAAATACTCCTCTATGTTACTCACCTCTCTTCCTGATCTTCTTCTCAGCCATGACTACATCATAACAGGATCACTTATGATAAAAGATATAAATCTGGAAAATATCATGCCATGATGTGGTCATGGAGCATAAAAATACCAGCAAACTGAGTGAATGATGGACAGATTGTTGATCAAACACTTGGTGCAGGATAAATTTTGACAAGAGAAACACAGATAACACTGGTGTTTTAATTGTTATGTGCATCATCACATTTATGTCTAAAGCCAAAAATGTTCTTAACATTTAAGCTCAGTTACCATCAATTCCAATATTTAAACAAATCAAAGCAAATAACCTGGACCACAAACCAACTACCTTAAGTTACTTAACAGCTTTCGAACTTCACCAGATATTGAAATGGAGGAAAGGATCTCAAACAGTCTGGCATGTTCTGAGACAAAATCTAACATGGACCAAAAAAGCAGAAAACTGTTTTTTCAATATAGCTAATACTTGCTTGACAATAAAATTAAACCAGAACCTATTATTAGATGAAAGTCAAAACATTTCATCTTTGGGTATCATTGCTAGGACAAGAAAGACAAGGGCACTTGAGTGGGTTAGAGCACCCACCATATAGGTGGGTGGATTGGAAGGCAGGCTTTCTTACCAATTTAGCCATCAGAATAGGCCAATATGAGACAACCTATGTTAGCTCTTATCACATCATTTAAGTGTGTAGCCTTCCAACCAGGCTGCAAGAATACATGTCATGCAGAGCATGTATGGCATATCACCTGATATCACAGCAACCATTTCAGTGCATAGGCACCTGAGTGTGTGGACTGAACACCTAAAGTCTGGCGCATAATACACATACTTCGATAAAGAAACATCTTCAGCTCCTGACTTTTGACAGAGTTCAAGCTATGTTGAGCTTACAACTTTCAGTATACAGGGAGGTACTGGAAACAATCTTGCAGTAAATGAAACCAATAGGAAACATTTTAACAACATCACTATCTTGGATGCTGTCACCAGAGCAAGTTTTTAGGCATGAAAATCTTTAAAACCCTAGTTCTACAATGAGACTCAAAGATCCTTGAACAACATAAATTACTGGAGCTTATCATTATTAGTAACAGCATGAATGAGATGACTTAATTTCTACAAAACAATGATCCAAGCCAATGCCCAAATGTTATGCAATTAAGCGGAAAGGTACCCAAACTGCAAATCCGTGCCATAACAAGCAATACAAGAACCTGCATTTGAAAATCCCGCCCTTCTCTTTCAATTTCCACCCACATTCAGCGTTACGAAATCGACTCCAGCGCAGGCCTGCACGTCCTCAGCCGTTACCCATTGAGAATTGAGAAAAATTCCGAAACACAACGGCGAATCAGATGATAAATGACTTGCTGTACCGACGGCCACTGACAAAAGTTGCTGACTGACGACCGGACTGAGGATGTCGTTAGCCTTGCCGAGGACAGTTTCTGAAACGATACATTTCTTGCGCGTTAGTTACATAACATTTATTTCCATGACAACCAACGACGCAGGGCTCAGGACATGTACTAAAACGCTGCTGCCTCGAAATGATATCTGCATGGCGCGAGTGGCTCATCGAACAGACCGCGTCTCCTTTCATCGGACAATATGCACGCTAAATATTGCCAAGCTGCGAAAGCTATCAACCCCTACGACACCTAACGCCCGTGAATGAACTGCTGCACTGTAACCATCCATCGTTCATCATGTCCGACCATCCCAACTGTGCGACTTTTGAAATTCGTGCCCGCTTACCACGCTCTGTTGCGGCAACAGAGCTGTCCGTGTCACACCTGAAAATGGTCTGTCTCCAAACTTTGTGAAAGCTGCTTTTCCCTGACTGCAGTTATAATAATCTAACCAGGTCTGCCCTCCTCTGGGCGAGTGCTCACAGGTGCTCTCAATCCACACAAAATGGCTTAAACGCAGTCGTGTTCAAATCGCCCACCCAAGAGAAGAATGCGTGAGATAATTGGTGAGCACACTACGACCTAATGTGAATGGTTTCCACACGGCTTTCATAGGCACCGTGTTTGATTGTAGGCACTCGGGCCCAGTGTCGAACTTTCCCAAACGCCTGGAGGGTTCCACCCCTTGTTCGGCCTACAACTCCCATCTACCCAATTCCATACCATTCCACGTCTTTCCAAGTCCTATCAGCCTACTAGGCTTACGCTTTTAGAGTATGCCGACGCAAGCATGTTTCTTCCTTGACTCACGACGGCGGGTTCTCCCTTCGTTCTGTAGCAAGACGCGCCAGACAGCGACTGTTCGCTGCGCCGCCCCAGTGACGCGAAAGCCAGCGCCACCGCAACGGCACGTGCTCAGGCAGGCGAATGTTCGCGGCGTGCCGTTCCAGTGGCGCAAGCGTAGCCGTATGCGGAGCGGAATAGTTTGAGCAAGTGACCGTTGTCCGCTGCGCCGTTCTAGCGGCCCATGAGGTTAAGTATTTGGGAGTATGATGTATGCATGAGTGTGATTATGAGATTAACTATTTGACGGAAGGTCATTGTTGCTGGCGCACGATATGTGTAACAACAATATTTACAAATAACAAAAATACATGTATATAACTTTATGTAACTAACCCCCTGTGTGTAATACGTATCATTATGAGTGTGTCAGCACGAGGTGAATCATCTCCCAGCAGACAATTGTGACCAGTGCCATAGCCCATATTTCAACATCATCTAGTCACTCAACTGTGTTGACATGTGTGCTTCTCTCCTTCGGGGGTAGATCAAGATTGTGGTAATACCGCAATGAAAACAACAGATTCCAGAAGAACTGTTTGATATGCAGTTTTTTCATTATTGGGCAACACAGGATGAAAATTCCAGACGCACGCACGTGATGTCTTTCATTATCTTAGCACCGGCAATATGCAATACATTGCAAACACGCCACCAACGCTCAATAGCATTCACACAAGTGAGTGGAAAATTAACTAACGCATTGCACCACGTAACACATCGCTGCAGGGACTAGAGCCCGCATCGTGGGAAGACCGTTTTAGTTGCAGGTTCTGATACATATCAGACAGAGCATCCTTGTTTGTGGAGGACGGGGAGAAGGATTACATCACCAGCTTCGAGAGATACCGTGGCCAAGAGCCTGTCGCACCATTGTTGCGCTAGTCAAGACGATAAAAGCACCAGCATTGAGCAAAACGCGTGCCCAGCCAGGTACCTGGCCAACACGTGGCCATACGGAGCAGCTGGAGAGAACCGGGGGCATGGCGCTGACGTACAGCCTACAGCACCGGATGGCAGTGTCCACCATTCTAGTGTGTTAGGCAGTGGTATCAACAGCCTAGTCCATCAAACAATGCTGTCCGACAGAACGGTCCGCCAGACAGTGATGACCAACAGTCCAGTCTGTCAGATGGTGGTACCCAACAGTCCAGTCCATCAGACAGTGGTACCCAACAGTCCAGTCCGTCAGTCGGTGGTCACCAACAGTCCAGTCCGTCAGATGGTGGTGGCCAAGAGTCCGGTCCGTCAGTCGGTGGTGACCAACAGTACGGTGCATCGGACGGTGGTGACCAATGGTGCAGTCCGTCAGACAGTAGTGACCAACAGCCCGGTCCATTAGATGGTGGTGACCAACAATCCAGGGCATCAGACAGTGAACACCAACAGTCCAGTCCATCAGATGGTGGTGACCAACAGTTCGGTCCGTTAGACGCTGGTGACCAACAATCCGGCCCGTCAGCGACCAACAGTCCGGTCCGTCACACGGTGGTGACCAACAGCCCGGTCCATCAGACAGTGGTGGCTAGCGGTCCCGTCGGTCGGACGGTGGTGACCGACAGTCCGGTCCGTCAGACAGTGGTGACCAACAGTCCGGTCCGTCAGGCGGCCGGCAGATCCGGGATGCGGGTGATCTGGAAGATCTTGACCTTGGAGACCTCGTCCATGAGGAAGCTGGACTGATTGTTGGCTGGCGTGGCCAGCAGCCGCGGCTTCAGGCCTTGAACAGCTGGTGGCGACAAAGCTGGTCGTCAACAACGCGCAACAATAACAATTATACGTACAATAACACAACACAGTGAACAATGAAACAAGCAGCAATTTCCATCTGCCTTTGTTTAAATGACCCTGAGAGGCACGGCCCGCGACGAATGACAGTGACCGCACTGAAAGTTAGCTGGCGTCAGAGGGCCCGATGGACCGTGCCGAGTATTGCGACACGTTAAAATCTTCGCCACCCAATTCTGCCGTTGATCTGGAGATGCACGACCGGATGGCAGTGGTCAGCTCTTACACCAAGTTCTGATATACTTTATTGTTGGTCACCACCGTCCGTCTTACAACCACTTTTTCTCCATATAAAAACATTTGTGCATTGTTTTTTTTGCACACATGGCATACCTCACACATATAACATATGATATAGTCTAATAAGTTATCACTTGACCCCAGCCTTACAATACTAACATAAATTCAATTTCTTGAGTATGTATTATCATATATATATATATATATATATATATATATATATATATATATATATATAATAGATTGCCACCACAGCACAAGCACGGCTGCTTCCGGTCGGCTGCCATTTCGGCGGCCGGGCGGCCGAGTCGGCCAGGCGCGTCGCTGACCTAGCTCGGCCATCAGGCGGGCAGTGGTGCCCTCGTTCCGGTCGGTCAGCGCCATCAGCACCTCCGGCGGCGGCCGCACGTGATCCAGCAGCAGCCGCAGCGTGCGAACTAGCGGCTCGTGCAGCTCCGGATTGTAGGTCACATCTGAAGCAGTCGGATGGAGTCGGTGCTGTGGAGACATGACAGTGTAGTTCCGGGTTGTAGGTCACATCTGAACCAGTCAGATGGAGTCAATGCTGTGGAGACATGACAGTGTAGTTCCGGGTTGTAGGTCACATTTGAATCAGTCAGATGGAGTCAGTGCTGTGGAGACATGACGGTGCAGCTTCAGGTTGTAGGTCACACATGAAGCAGTGAGGTGGAGTCGGTGCTGTGGAGACATGACAGCGCAGCTCCAGGATGTAGGTCACCTCCTTGTTGACCTGAGACGCTCAGTTCTGAGGGGGGGGGGGGGGGGGGCGTTACGTCGACACCGCACGAAATGTGGGAGAATAATGACACCATCATCATCAATGTTAATATCAAGTGTTATTGAATCCTTTTACTTGAACAGTCATAAAGAATAATATCTGCAATCATCGGCGTTATCACGACCATTCAGGTTCCCGTGCCACCCACCAGCAGTGAGCACCAGATCCACGTCCAGGTCACGAGGCCTCCTCGGCGGTGAAGGTAAACCAGTCCAGGGTGCCGGCGCGCAGCTCCGTGCCGTCCAGGGCCATACGCAGATCGCCGACGCAGGTGGCGCCACCGTCAGCCGGACCGCCGCACGGTTTTAGCGGCGCGCTGGCCGGCGCGTCGGAGACAAACGCTGCGCACGCCGACTCGTCCCACAACTGGCAAGTCGTCCTCCGCGAGTTCGAGATTTTTCAGAACGTTGTATTTCAGCATCTGAAGTTATGAATGCACCATAAGCTATGCACAAAGTTAGCAATTGCTCTGCGCAAGACTTCGGAATCGAAGATCCTCGGTGCAGATGCACCCCAGGATAACACGAAAGATGGTTGGAAATTCTGGAGTCCATTATTCAATTGTTAGGAATACTTTCTGCAAGCGGATCTAATTATCCCAATCACGAGAACAAAAGATACAGATACTTCAGATGTATCATGCATAACGCGTTGACCTCGGCATAGATCGAGAACGATAACGATAACGAGAACGATAACAAATAACCGAAACCTAAGCTCAGTACCATAGATCCATGAGTGGTGATCAGGTGTGGTGATCAGGTGTGGTGATCAGGAGTGGTGATCGAGACAGTATCCGGAAGCAGTTAATAAATATCCAGCCAGTGCAGTACAGGACGTAGCAGCGCCGGAGGCGTCGGCGCCGCGCCCAGGCGTGCCACCCTGGCCCCCTGCGGCGACCCGCGCCACTCCACTGACCTCCACTACCAGGGGATGGCCGTCCGTCACGTGGTAGGAGGCCGGTGAGCACGTCCTGCACAGCGCCAGACCTGCCGACGGCCGGACGGCGGGTGTCAGGTGGCGGCAGTGGTCGGGAGAGACAGGCACGCTCGCCGGTAGCGCCGCCCTCACGCCCCCCCCCCCCCCCCCCCCCCCCCCTCCTCCTGCACTGCCAGCGAACAGCGGGCGTCATGGCAGTAATGCAGCGAACGCTGCCGAAAGGCTCGATAGCAATGGTCCACAAGACGCTGTATTCAGCTCGCGACACTGCCGTTGGGAGGGTGCGCGCACGCGCCGGCGGGTTCGTCGACACCAGACAGATGGCGTGTGTGTCGGCTCGTGATGGCTTGTGCGCTGGCGACTTTGGGGCGCGGCGTCGCACGCCTTTCCCTGCCCGGAATCTGCAGGAGTGCGTGCGTGTGCACAAGCATGAACAGCGGCCAGATGAACGCAAGGGTAAGAGCATCACGTCGTCCAGCAGTTGCTAGCACTTGATTCCGGTTACCGACGCGCAGATTCCCGCCGACAGCACGACCTTCGTGTCCATGAATCACTGTTCATTTGTGCGTGCCTGTGCGTGCGCGTTTGACTGCACACGCGTGTTGAATTGCGAACATACACGTGTGCTGCTCTGGTATCTCGGCGCACATCGCACGCCTGAGTCAGCGTCTGCAAGCCTGTGCTCGAGCACGCGCGTCGGCGCGGTGCGCCGGCGTGCCCGGGCGCGCGGCGGTGCCAGCACTGACCGGTCAGGCCGAGGCCGGCCCCCAGCTCGAGCACCCGCCTGCCCTGGATCGCCTCCGGCCGCAGCAGGTACCAGTCCAGCAGCGCTTTGCCCGCCTGTGGACGCCGCCGAGCGTCATGACGGCGCGGCCGGTGCGGGAGTGGCGCCACCGGCCGGTGCAGGAGTGGAGGTGCAGCCGAGGGCGCGCCATCTGGCTCGGGCAATTGGTGGCCAGTTGGAAAAGCAAAATACGCCACCGATGATATCAAGAGATAGTTCATTGACCGCCAACAAGTTAACAACACGACACATAAGACACATGTGAGCCTTATTGAAGCAACCATCGGCGACAGCTTGCTTGCGACAGCGTCGAGCACTGGCCGCACTATCCCGATGACTGTTTGGCCGCGGTGCCGCTCTGTCGGCCCGTACCACCCTCACCTGCCACGTGCGCAGGCCTTGTAGTGTCGGCCGCGGCGCCGCTCTGCCGGCCGGTGCCACCCTCACCTGCCACGTGCGCAGGCCTGTAGTGTCGGCCGGTGCCACCCTCACCTGCCACGTGCGCAGGCCCGTAGTGTCGGCCCGTGCCACCCTCACCTGCCACGTGCGCAGACCTGTAGTGTCGGCTGCGGCGCCGCTCTGCCGGCCCGTGCCACCCTCACCTGCCACGTGCGCAGGCCTGTAGTGTCGACCGGTGCCACCCTCACCTGCCACGTGCGCAGGCCTGTAGTGTCGGCCGGTGCCACCCTCACCTGCCACGTGCGCAGGCCTGTGGTGTCGGCCGCGGCGCCGCTCTGCCGGCCCGTACCACTCTCACCTGCCGCGTGCGCAGGCCTGCAGTGTCGGCCGCAGCGCCGCTCTGCCGACCCGTGCCACCCTCACCTGCCACGTGCGCAGGCCTGTAGTGTCGGCCGGTGCCACCCTCACCTGCCACGTGCGCAGGCCGTAGTGTCGGCCCGTGCCACCCTCACCTGCCACGTGCGCAGACCTGTAGTGTCGGCTGCGGCGCCGCTCTGCCGGCCCGTGCCACCCTCACCTGCCACGTGCGCAGGCCTGTAGTGTCTGACCGGTGCCACCCTCACCTGCCACGTGCGCAGGCCTGTAGTGTCGCCGGTGCCACCCTCACCTGCCACGTGCGCAGGCCTGTGGTGTCGGCCGCGGCGCCGCTCTGCGGCCCGTACCACTCTCACCTGCCGCGTGCGCAGCCTGCAGTGTCGGCCGCAGCGCCGCTCTGCCGGCCGTGCCACCCTCACCTGCCACGTGCGCAGGCCGTATGTCGGCCCGTGCCACCCTCACCTGCCACGTGCGCAGCCTGCAGTGTCGGCCGCGGCGCCGCTCTTGGCCCGTGCCACCCTCACCTGCCACGTGCGCAGCCGTAGTGTCGGCCGCGGCGCCGTTCTGTCGGCCGGTGCCACCCTCACCTGCCACGTGCGCAGGCCTGTAGTGTCGGCCGCGGCGCCGTCTGTCGGCGGTGCCACCCTCACCTGCCACGTGCGCAGGCCCGTAGTGTCGGCCGCGGCGCCGGTCTGTCGGCCGGTGCCACCCTCACCTGCCACGTGCGCAGGCCCGTAGTGTCGGCCGCCATCAGACGTCGGTCCTCCCAGAGCGCCACCACCGCCGTCTCGGTCAGCTGATACACCACGTGGCCGTCGGTGCGGTCGGCGTCGGCCGCCGAGGAGCTGGCCGTGGATGTGGTACGCCAGCTCCGGTACCTCCCGGCCGCTGGCCTCCAGCTGCAAGCGCAAGCGGCCGACATGTTCTCGCAGGTGTCACACTATCACGACCAAGGTACAAGGTACACGCGGTGCGGGCTTACGGGCTTCACCAAAGCACTGCACGTCTAACCTTCCTAGTAGACGAGTAAAAAAAGCTAGCATCTCTCGCATTATGTTAGACATCATGACAGCTCTTAGCTTTCCTCAGTGTCCTCAACATAGTATTGTATGGCCTTGACACACTTCCGAGTCCAGCAAATCATTCGAATAATATCCAACGATGATGAACAACAAAAGCAACAAATATCCGAACTCATACACCTAGTCCAACATCTGCCGTGCATTCCTGCCACAGACACCTTTTTAATGATATCGCCGATGATGCGAAAGCGGTATCTCGGAGGCGGCGGACAGCGCAGGGCGAAAGGCGACAGGAACAGGTGGAACAGCAGCCGGAGGACAGCATCGCGGAACTCGTCACCATCCAACCCGGCCACCAGCGACCCGACCTGCGGCAGCAGACCGCTGCATTACCGACAAGTATTGCAGTATGTCATCACATAACAAACCGAGTAATAAAGTAGGAAGTGCAATGAAATCGCACACGTCATCATATACAACGTAATAAAGTAAAAAAATATTTAACATAAAGTAGCAATGAAATCGAAACGGTGTGTACAGACATGAAAGATTGAATGTTTGACTGCTGACAATAACTGACAACTGACTATGCACTTTTGACTGGTCACCTCAACTGATCCCGCTAACCCATTTGGCCCGTGGCCACCATGACCCGGCATTCCAATGGCGTGGCATGCATGATGAGATTCCGAAAGTATGGGTTAATTTATTGGAAGCGAATTTTCAACTCCTGGGTTCAGTCACGCTCCGTTGCCACCCTCGTCCTTCAACAAGCCCACTGTCGCTAGGGCATATTCCAGACCGCCGCACACCCCACGCATACGCATGGCCGAGACTGCACATCAGCTTTGCTCGTAACTCCATCTGAGACTGTACGATTATAGCTACACCTCAATTCCCCCACTCGGAAGTAAACAAACAGGAGAAGTACAAACAAAACTACACTTCCAAGTGAACTGTGCAAACAACCAATCACCGCGCTGACGGGGGGCCGCGCGCCGTGCTGAGAACGCGAAGGCGCAGGCTAGAAGCGGGACAGAAGACTCCCCCCTCCGCCCCCCCCCCCTCCCCCCGGGTGCAGGATTGACACAGGAACAGGGGACAGGGAGCGACCGCAGGCACGGGTCGGCAGATACACTCCGGATCGGTGTTCGTGACGGTCGCAGGCGTCCAGCGCGGACGAGCGTCCAGCGCGTCGGCCAGCTGGACGTCCAGCGCGGACGAGACCGACGGCAGGACGCGTCGGCCAGCTCGGACGCGGTGCCGACCCCAGTGTGCCGACGCGAGCTTGTCATCATAACATACAGGATAGTTTTTGGCTGACCTGTCTGGAAACTCGAGACAGGAGGGATTTTCATTGCTCTGTCTTTTAATGCATGCTACCAAAATGGGTTGTGCCTACATCCTGCCTGATCATTTACCACTTACATTGAATTATAATACCTTTTTTAAAGGCTGAGCCTGAACCTTTTGAATGGATAGAGTAATGGGATCAGTGCTCATATTAGATAGCTTGTAGAAGACTCCCGCACTAAAGAGAGTGTTCCACATTCGTATTGGGGTTTTGAGCTGAAAAACCACACTGAAGACCATTTGATGCAACTAGCAGCCATGCCCTTTTTAAGGCTTAAAACCCTCTAGTTTCTTAGCTTGCAGCCAACAAAGTTGTGGGAGAGTATTTTAAGGTTGCTTTGGCATTTATGACATCATAATAATGTCATTGAAATCCTGCCATTTCATAAGCCATGCAATGATCAAGGCCAACAAAGACACAATGGTTGAGTCATTCATATCTAGCCAGCCACATTTTCTTGACATAATGGTCATCAATTGTCTCTCCATCAATATTATGTAATGCATGATAGCTTAATCAAACAATGGCCCATCAAGAACTATATTTACTAAACACCAAAATTATGTTGTATAGAGCATACTCTTCCACCAAAAAATGTGAATATCTATAAGTGAGCTTGCTTTATCATATCTGTTATGTGCTACAATATCTTCAGATTTGTAACATTTCCTTCAAGCAGTTCTTGTGTGAGCACTTAACCCTACAGATATTTTCAGTACTTCACCTTTTTAAGAAGGACAAAAAATCTCCACTGCAAGTGAATAAAGCTTGAAGAATACCTGGCATGGTGTATCCTGCTCAACATGACCTGATCTTTAGTGTGGCTGCCGCAGACCAAGCTAACATGACGTGTGGGTGGGGGTGTAGGTGTACTTTCCTACCTAACGTTAGACAAAATAATTGTACACCATTCGTCTTGTTTAATGGGAACATATCATAAATAATCTCAAAACAGGTAGAATCATGCTCCTACCTTCAAATTTTAATAACTACGATGGCCAGCTCCCGAGTGCCGCACGCACCGCACCGCCTGGACTCCCAGGCGTTCTGCGTTGCCGTTGCGTATTACAATATTTTGCTTACCAAGAATAAAAAATGTATGGGACCAAGGTAACAAAACAATGCAATGAAAATTGTTTCTTATTGCTAGGTACTTTTGAAATGCACAAGCCGAACGTCAGAACATAGCCTAACCTGACCTGAACCTGACCTCTGACTGACCTGACCTGACCTGACCTGACACAACCCCTAACCTAACCTAACCTAACCCTAACCTAAACCTAACCTAACCTAACCTAACCTAACCTAACCTAACCTAACCTAACCTAA